CCACCACAATGACGTTGTTGGACTCAACCAGGGTGAAAATCGTGTCGAGTACGTGGTCGCAGAGGTACGACCCCCCCCCCGAAATCGAGATCCTGGCACGACCCCCTCTAACAGAGCAAATTAATTCAATTAAAATAAATCCTGCAAAACAAATCAAAAAAAATTCTGCAAAATAATGCTAAGGACGCTTCATCTTGTCATCTATGCACGTCTTCCATCGCTGCATACTTTTGTGTACATACTGAAATATCGACTCGAGGAAAGAGGCATTAACTTTGTGTGACCTCAAGGCGAGGTTCGTTCAGAAACGCACAGAAATCCTGAAGACACGGGGTTGCGATTCAATCTTGATTCTTTGCTTGAGTATATCAAAACAGCCGAGTGTATCAAAGGCCGATTCAACGGCAGCTGCGGCGCGATTGTCACTGGGTCAGATTTGCCGAAATTTCAAAAAAAAACGTCCGAATCTACACCCTCGATGAAAAGGTTGCATTCCTCCATTTCACAACCTTTGAAGCAGCTTGAGGTAGAGTTAGATAGAGCTGGATTTCGCGTTTCCAACAAGCATCGAAATTGCTCTGGAAGCCTTCCTTGCAGAAAGATAGGGTCTGTCAAATTTCGTCGAGTAAATGTCGAGGAGGCCCAAATTTTCACGCGAGTTTTTGCCACTTCAAGAGCAATATATCTCTTATATTGTAAGATCCTGAAAAAGGGAAGATAGTTTTGGAAAGCGGAAGGTTTGCGCTTCCTGATGGTCTGTTTAGTTTTCTTCTACAGCTTTTTGGTTGAAGAGATAATTGCGTCGAGGATCTATCGAGGTCGGATCCGGCCACCTGGAAATCCGCTCCCTCATTCACCATTGCAAGTGTGACTCGTTGGCAACACTCGGAATGTGTCTAGAACAATATCTTTGAACGCAAACAATAAGAATAGGAGCAATCGTCATCATCCGATTTGGTATTGGTATAAGCCATGCATCCCTCCTCCACTCACAGTTGCAGAATCGATTGAAAGGTGTTATATGATGGGGACCTTCGAACGAAACTGTATTGTAGTAGACATAGTGTGTTTGTGCTATTCCTGTAACCTAAAAAACAACTTCATTTGCCCAGCGCTTTTTCTTCACGGTTGTCGTTCGTTTTTCCAGGGCGTCGCCTAATATAGACAGCTTCTATCGCAGCAGCATTCATAAGGACGCCCATGATCGCGATGGCGATAGGGCAGGAGGTGCCTTTGCAGCGCGTGCGCACATGTGGCAGTCTTCTTTGCGGGGATGCACTTTCATTCTTTGTACTGCCTTCAAATACGCCCTTCTCATGAAGGTGGAGGAATGGAGCGACTGAACCTGCAAAGAAAATTTAATATCATGTTTTTTCGGATGTTTTCATTTTCTGCTGCGCTATACCCTATTACCTATCTGCACCATGATACCACTTCTGTTACTGACCCCCAAGAGTACGACCCCCCATGGACCAGCCCAACAGGTACGACCCCCCTGTCGAGGATTTCCTCGACCGATATTCACCCTGCAGGACTATATGATGTAAATCCAGCAAGAACTATGCCTGAAGCATCGAACAAAAATGTAGGTTTATAGTGGCTGTATGTACCCAGACTGCATTCTGGGCCCACCCCGTGTGCGGCGCGGGGCGGTTTCTAGAAAGCGTGTGCTCCAATTGAACAATATTCAGTACTCGCCTACAGAGCAGAAAAGAAATTAGTGCAGGGCAGCGATGTCTAAGGTATTTCCAGCACACATGATGTGAACGGAGGTCCGCCCACAATGGGCGGAGCGTGTCCTGAAGTAGACGACGTTTTCTACAAGAGCTCATAAATCGGCTCTGAGATGACTTGGAAACCTGAAAACAGTGGATACAGGTTAGGAGAAGGAGGAGAAGCTAAATGTCAAGGGCTGGGCGTAGCTTTACACCAAAGTGGGTCGCGAATTGCAACCAGCCTATAACTCCCGTTCTAGAAAATCCGCGTACCGTAAAAAATGAGAAGGGCTGGCGGAGATGGGCCGTGAGCTGCTGTTGGCTCAGGCGAGCATGCCTTAAAGTTGTCGGAGTTTCGCCAAGAAAACTTCCATAACTCGTACAATTAAGTCGATGGGCAAAACACAGCTCAGAAAAGGAGGTTGGGGAAGAGATGATAGTCAACTGATATCAGTGGGCGACCCATGCACCAAAGTGGGCGGGGTTTGCCACAAAGATACGTAGCTCGATTTCGTCCCCTACAAGACCTCATAATTCTGCTCCGAGATGACTTAGAGACCTGAAAAAATGTGTATAGTAGTGAGAGGAGGAGTAGAGGTTGAATGTGAACGCTGGGCGTGGCACACCCCGAAGTGGGCGGAGTTTGCCACCACCCTCATAACTCGTGTTTTGTATAAGTCTCTGCGACTCCAAAAAAAGTGGGTAAGGGTTTAGCGTGACCTGAGGGAATCCGGGGCTCAACCCTTCTGCGGAATGCTGGCCCAAAAGTATGTCGGATGTTTTGCCATGGAACGATTCAATACTACACTGGACGCATAATCTTAGTCACTACAAATTTCCCAAAAACCTAGTATTTTAGAGATGACCACTAGAGACACACTTGATTGTAGATAATGCTTTTCTTAAAACACTATTTCGCTGGTATATACGCATAGCAGCATGCTAGAGACAGCTTTCATGCCGCGCACCATTCCAGCAAGTGCGGGCCGGTCGGGCACGTCGAAACCGTTTAGGCACTCCTAAGTTAGGGACAGGTCGAATGAGATGAGGCAGAAGATCGCGTTTCAGTGCATGATTATTTTGTCCTACATACATACATTAATTTGCGACCCCTCCTCCCCTAAAGGGGGGGAGGGGTCACAAATTTTTGAAAAAGTGCGAATGTGACGGTTGACATTGGTTGCCGGTACGGTCCTGCTAGGCCATTGTGAGCATACCCCTTCGTTGCGGGAAGCGCACCGTCCCTCATTCTTAAGAAGCCCGCCTGCCTTTCCCAGTATGTAGACCTATTTCCCTTCTTTGATCTCACCTTATCGTAGGATTCTCCTCTAAATTGAAACCAAATTTTTCAGGCATCTTTCGGTTCGCTACGAGCGGTAATGGAGCCAGTTCTGAAACACATGGATTTACATGCCCACTGGAAACCACCGCCAATTTTCGCGATTCATGTTTTCAAAGCGATCATCTACAGTATACAGAGTCAAAATAGCTATTTTGTCATACAGGTGAATTAGATTTACTTCTATTAATTCTGCTTTTTTGAATTAAGAGATTTTTGTTCTTCTCAATTTTCCATGATGGTGATCATATTAACTTTGAAATTCACGCAAATTTCATGTTTCTCGTGAATTTGGAAAGAACTGGTATGACTGACTGATTTTAGGAATTGATTAATCATCTTGATTCGATGAGCAGTGCTGATGCTGTGATTCGAATTGGAATCGCTACCGTGCTTTCAAATATAGTATCGATCGCTGGAACGAGTATAGGTAGGTTCAAAGGCTGAGGTCATGTTACCTAAATGGACGAATACATTTAGGGAACGGGTCCGGCTCAGCCAGGGTAATTTCTTGTGACGTTCCATTCATTATTAAATAGATCCTGCCCAATTACAAGTCCTGCCCCTTAAAAAAACGTCCGTTGGGCTTAATTTTGTGAACCGTTGATTAAATCCCACAATGCAGGTTAACACGTTTTTTTCATATTTTAGGTCCGCTGCTGTTATCGATTCTTCGACTCGCTTCTCAAGCATTTGCGAACGTCTGTCGATTTTGAAAGATCCGAGAAGTGCAAGGATTCTGAAGCTGAAAAGATGATCAATGCTATGGGTGACTTCGCAAATGCTTTACCAGACTATCAAAAGGTTCGTAGGTTATTTCTGGTTTACGGTCAGTGCCTTATGCTTTTGTCTACTGAAGCAGGTGGGGGATAGGGAGTGGAGGGAGGGGGAGGGGGTAAAATAGCATAATTCTGTTTACAATCGAAAATGGGACAGGTCACCTTGTGAAGTATTGTTTTATGAAGTCAGTCAGTTTTATGAAGTCAGTCATTATTTCAGGTTGAAATGATGATGTTTACAGTGGGAAACATACCAAATTTGGATGAAAAGCAAGTCAAACAAGGTGATGAATTCTTGCAGCACGTTTTAGTGAAGACGTCTGTTGAAGGTGAGTATCGAATCACAGTATGTTGAATTCTCATTCGTAATCAACCGGGAAATCCCAAGGTTCTAGGGTCTTCTGGCATCTAATGGACGCTTTCCATTTCGCTTGAAATAATAATTCTTTTTGGATGTGCTCGCTTTGTGTTCCGAAGTTTTTGAGTCGCACTTATT